TTTATTAGCACATACCTGAGCCATCATTTAATAATCAGCCCTTGCTCTGCTCTGGTTTACAATAATGCTTTCTTCATACCTCTTTGTCTTACAGAAGCCAATGAAAGACACTTCACATGCCTCTTTTCACCCTGGGAATTCCACAGCTTCTGAGGACAGAAAGGTTTTCCCACCAGCCTCTTCTGTGGTGGGTAAATCTCCATCATAAAGCATTTTCTAAGCAGCTGACCAGGACAGGGATGAGAATGTGTTTCAGAGATTTTCCCCTGGTTCTTGAAAATGCAAAATAAGCCTGGTAGAAGCCATGGCAGGACTGAGCACAGAAAGCAGCTTTTGGAGGTGACACTGCTGCTCCCAGGTGGTACAGCATGGACACTCTCTCACCTGGGAGTGCTTGGACCCAATTTACAGCTGGCAAACTTTGAAGAAATCAAATAAAACTTCTTTTGTAATTTTACAGTGAAGTAAGAGGAGTTCTCTGAAAGGGCAATGAGAAAAGAAACCCTAGGAATAGAAAGATAGGGTTGAATAAGATTTCATTCACTTCTTGCCATCTGGGAATAAAATTTGTGAGGGAATACTGTTCTTATCCGTATAAATGGCCAATATCTTCTCAAACCCAGCAAAGCAGAAGGCAGGCAAGGTTTATGGCTCACATTAGCAGATTCTAGTGACATGAGTTTACAATAGTGGTCTAGTAGTTCAGTGTAACACTGACTCATGGCTTATTACTGTGGCGATAGGAATGTAAAGAGATCTCATTTAAAAAAAAAATATATTTGGATAGTTCACATCCTTTCCTCCCTACTCATGAATTCCTGTGCCATTGACTGCTAGCTGCTAAAAATAGGATCCTTTCTGTGTATCTAAAGGAAAACCTAGAATCAGAGAGACAATGGGAGGGGACCAAGGTCCTTCCATATAGGGCCTTCGGGAAATATTTGTAATGAAAGCCCTCTGAGAGGCAGGAATGTTTTTAAAAGATGGAAACAATCTAAGAAGGTATTTTGGAAAGAAGAAGGAGAGGAATTAATTAATCACAGCAGTTCCCAGCTTTGGTATTTTGCACCATAGTGGTGGGAGGTACAGGACCAAGCTTCAGCTTTGTCTTGGAGAAGCTGTTCCACTTTAGCAGCAGGAAGCTCCAGGGAACTGCCCAGGAACAGCCCTGTGGCCAAAGAGGAGCCACATGAGGAGTCATTTGAAGTTGTACAACTCCCGTAAGGAGCAGCAGGAAAGAGGACCTGAGAAGACATGAGTAAGGTATCTGCAAACAAAATGGATTATCACCATCACCCCTTCAAAAAAGAAAAAAACCCACATGGCACCTCAGAAACAAACCACTGAAGTGTGAAATCATGCAGCAGGGAAAGCTGTCACAGAGAATCAGAAATTGATTTAATAGACACAAATTGACTGCTGCATGATTTGTGCAGATTGCTGCTGGCTGAGAGGGAGAGAGATCCACAGCTCTGGAGAGCTGAGCACAGGCACCACCTGGCAAAAGGTGTGGAAAGCAAAAATTTCATCGTTGGTAATTCTGTGTGTACTGAATGCTTCCTCTTCAGTAGGGAAAAATTAAAATCAATGGCAGGATGCAAGGTAACAAAAGGAAATGACTGATCAATATGCATGTCTTGGAGCTGAAGACAAGCCCATCTGGCAAGAGCAGCATGCTGATGAGGCGAGATTCTGAGAGGGAACCTGAAAAGCTTCCACTCCTGATGCTCACAAACACAACACAGCTGAGCAGATGCCAGGTGCAGTGCTAGGAAAAGTGAAGGCACCAAGGAGTCTAGAGAATAACTGTTAGGAAAAGCAGGGAATATTAATTTTAAGACTAAATAGATTTAAAGTAAAAAATGTGATGCTTTTCTTTGCCTTTCTGAAGATCTCAAAAGCCCTTTACTGATACTGAAAAATTATTATGGTCTTTACATACCTGTGCAAGGTTTTAGAGATACTGAGACAGTGATATTTCAAGGCCAGTGTCCAATTTATTCCTTGGCTCAAAGCACTTGAAATCTCATTTCCCTGTATATTTCATTGCGGGGAGGAGGGGTCGGGGGTCTCTTTGTCAAGTGCTACCAAAAATCAAACACTAAATCTTCCATGATTCCATAGTTTTAAATCTGTCACACAGATTTTTGAATACTTTTGAAAATGTCACTGTAAAGCTGACAGCAGGGTCTGCCATGACCTCAGCAGGACAGGAAAGAGCACGTGGAACTCCAGGTTTGCTTTCCCAGTTTTTCCCTTCCTGAGTTGTATTTGTTTCTGAGGCAACAGCTTCAGAAATGGCACATGAGCAGTTAAACACCTCAGGTCTTGCAGCTCATACATCTCATTCTGCTGACACAGACAGAAGGCAGACACTGCTGAAGATCAGAGCCAGAAAAATATTGCAAAAACTTTGTGAAAGTTCACTTCATGGTAACCCCACATTTGCCTGAACATATTCCCTGTGAGTTCCTGACTGGCATTCTAAACAGTGGATAAAGACCTATTTTATCACCTCATGACTTTGACTTCATTAAGAAACCACAGAAGTCTGGTAGCACTGAGCTGCCATGTTCTCACTGGGCTTGGAGCAAGAGTTCTCCTCATGGTCTTGCATCATGTCACTGCCTCCTCTGCAGAGCCCTCCTGCTCTTTGGCACAGGTGAATAAGCAGCCACTCCCCTCAGGAGCCAGCAGGACCCAATGCATCTTTTCCTGCAGGCTGGCACCCAGCCAGACACGCTGCTTTGCTCTTTCCCTGCGGGAATGCACAGAAGGACTGAGCTGTGCAAAATCTGTCTGGTCGGGGGAGAGTTTGGATGCTTGACTGTTGAGGAAATGCTGGCATGTTCCAGTGCCTCTGTGCTCTCAGCCATCTGCCACCTGCCTCCTCACTAGGGGTTCTCTGTGTTTGCTGGGAAGGGGAGGCTCGGAAACACAGAATGAAACAGCTGTGCTGTCCTTGGGCTCAGCCGGACACACTGCACATTGTCCCACCCTCCAAGGCAGTGGGGAAGCGTGTGGAAACAGGAGGAAGAAAAAGTTCCAAGGAACCTTATGTAGAGAGCCTTAGTTAAGTATTTCATGGACAACAGAGGTATGTTCATTCTGTCCTTCCTGTCTAGCCCCACCCAAATCCTAAGCAAGACTAGGAATTGGGGAAATAAGAATCAAAATCTTTCTGCTGGCTGCCAGGCAGGAGAAACTCCATGTGCAGCTGATACAACCTTCATGTTCTGAACTGCAGGGATGTGTCCCCTGCCTTTGTGGGAATGATCTATCCAGCTGAGATAGAAGGATCAGGCTGTCTGGTGGGCAAGGACAGCCCCAACCTCTGCCATGGCATGAGCAGCTTTATCACTGGGAATAGGAGGAGAAGGCTCTGCTAAGCTGGGTTCTGCCCTACAACAGAAAATGCATTGTTTGTAAATCAGACTTTGGAACTGCTTAAGACTTAAACACAGCTTCAATTAATTAAACTTTCGCAGTGCAACACAACCCCAGAGTGAATACAACACTATTCAGTCCCTGACTGCAGATTTTGTTGCAAAATAAACAAGTTTTTCCAGGGATGGGCTTGATAGTGCTGATCAAGAGGTTGGGTTGGGTTCAAAGTCATCTCAAAGTCCTAGTGGGGATATGAAAATGGTTGTAACACCTAGAGAAAATTACCTTTAGTGAATATTTGTACACAGCATATGTTGTAAAGCCCCAAATGGTCTGACAGAGGTGCTCTATAATAAGTTCTCTGAGCATGTTTCCCAGCAGTATGAACCTTAGGGGGTTTGATTTTATTGCTTTATTAAAAACTGTTTTCAGGATGCTCAAGCAACATTTTTCCAGCTATTTTTTATGCATGATTACACTTTCTTCCCTATGCTAATTTTATTCCAGTAAATGTGCCCTCTGGACCAAACAGTGCTTCCCTCATGGTAACACAACTCTTGTCACATTGGTGGAAATGAAGAATGGAATTTGATCCATCGAGGTCAATACTTGACCTCTCACCCTCTCTTTCTGAAGCTGAGAACATTCTGGAGCAGTTTCACCAGGTAAATGCTGTCCTCCAGTAAATGAAGAAATGGCACCAACATTCTTGCACCAAAGTAAAACAGAAGACTGGGAATATTTCTTTAGCACAACAGGAATGACAGCTGGAAAAGAGCCGCAGCTGCTGGACCCCTCAACCCCACCTGAATCAGAGCTCAGGCTCAAATACAGGCAAGAATCATTTACTGCTCCAAACCACAGAGCAGGGGAGCGTGTAAAGCTGCACTGGGAGTGATGGGATGCCAGCACTTCCAGGGAATGGGACCCTCCTGGCAGACTGCTCTTGTAGTTTCCGTCTAGAATATTCTATCCAGGGATCATTTCCATACTGCTGTCCATATGTTCATAGTAGCCATAGCAGAGACACGACTTCATATGCTCTATAGGGAACATGGCCCTGCAAGTGGCTTAGGGTATGACCCCTCCTATGGGGAAAAGCAGCTCAGCCTTGACCTCCAGGAATTCCTTCCAACCAACACTTCCGTGATTCAGTGATCCTTTGTCTTTTCCTGTAGCAGGGCCTTGGCCCGACAGCTGCTGGGTTTCTAAGTTATTTCCCTGGCTTGGACTGACTGTGAGCCAAAGGAAATAAAGCTGGCAGAATCCCCCGGATCACTGCACTGTCCTAATCCCTGCTGGGGCCTCCAGAGAGGGTGTGGAACAGGAGCAGCATCCCAGCAGAGCTCTGGCTCCGTCCCCTCCAGCCTCATGGGCACCAGGGCTGAAGAAATCCAGGATGGCAACACAGATCACAAAACAAAAAACAAGACCTGGAAAGGAAACACATGTCTGAAGTACAATTCCTTGATAAATTTTCCTCCTGGTATGACACAACTCTATTTCTCTCTCTCCCAGGCACAACCAACCACCCCTCTGATGAAGTTACTTAGACAAAACATGAAAAGAAAATAACTGTCCCATATCATTCCTCACTTAAACTCCATTCTGAGACACAGTTTTGTTCTTCGATGCCCACAAAGCAGATTCAGCCTGCTGGGTTTTCATTATTTATTTTAAAATGTTTTCACAAGTAGCAAAAGTTTGGATTTTTGAGGAGAAAAACAAGAACATTGTCTATTCTCAGAATGCCTATAAAGACAGATGCTTTCCCCCTTCGTATCAGGACACAAAATTATTATAAATATATATGTATGTATATAAAAATAAATGTTTTGGGACTAACAGATTCAACAAAAAGAATTTCAGAGAGGGACAGAGACAAAATAGCAAAAAAACTGTGACATCACAATTTTATAAATCCCTTTTTTAAAGGTGTTCAAAAATTTTGACCTTCCACTGGGCATGAAAGAGGGGAGGAAACCCCAAATGCTACTGAAATGGGCAAATGGTTCACAACCACATTTTGTATAATTCACAATGTCACACTTGAAGTTATTGTGACAAGGCTGATATAAAAGTGTAAAAGTGCATAAACTCTGGGGTTTACATAAAAGAGGATACATATTTAAAGCATATTTTATGTTTTAGGGCATTTACCTCACTTTACCCCAAAATAATTATTTTAGAGGCCCTTTCTCTCAGCATCCAAGCCAAGCAGAGAGAAAGGGCCAGGGCACCACAACCAGGGTAATAACAATTCCAATATCTTTCACCACTAACTGGAATATGGCTTTTATCTATTGCAACTCAAAAAATTTAGAAATTCAGCTCCTCTGTTTGCTTTCCCTTCCAGAACCAGCACTTTCCCTGTTGGGAAATCACCAAATCATCTATTACAAACATCATCATTTTTCCTACTGTTATTTTCCCCTCATATGGAACATGCCAAGTCCCAAACCGTCAGGACTCAGAACACATTGCAAGAGGTTCAAGCTGCCAAAATTCTTGCTGGTTTTGGTATACCTTGCTCAGAAGAGGGAGGAAGGGGAAGAGGAGGAGAACCCACTTGTGTTTTTTCCATGCCAGGCAGCGGTCAGTGCCCTGCTGGCCCATCCCGGCCGTGTCTCCCCATCCCACCCGATTCCCTCGCAGGGTGCCAGCGTGGGCCATGGCCTCCCTCTAGCGTCCAGAGCACAGGCTCCTCTGCCTCAGCTCCCCAGAACGAGCCAGCAGAGCCCTTCCAGATCTCCAGGCAGGAGGAATCCGGTTCGGTCCTGCGAGTAATGACCCATAATTATGTTTACAGACTCTCCAGAGTATGAGAATTCATTGTGCCCCCGGAGTGCCTGGGGATCAAGCAGCCTCCTGAAGCTCTCCTATAATTAACATTTAACCATTATGCAGAAAGCCCGAGGCAAGCAGCTGTCTCCACTTCTGCAGGAGAGGCCCCAGGGCAATAGGACACAAAGACAAACTATTCAGAAACCCCTCATCAACTTAACTTTCCTCCTCCCTTGCCCACAGACTTCTCACTTGTTCTAGCAACACAGAAAGGTGCAAATGTCACCTTGGCACCATGGCAGCAGTTTCTTTCGTAGAAGAAACACCCAGCTCCCAGGTCTATCCAAAAATGGTTCCTGCTGCCAACATGATGTGCATGAATGAGCTTCACCACGTTCAGGTCAAGGGCTGCTTCTGTCAGCCCGGAGGAACCAGCAGCAGCACCTGGACAGGATCTGGCAGCATCCCTCCCTGGTAAGGGATCATTCACTGACAGGGAGTGTGAAGGAGGGGGCAGGAGCACATTTCTGTCACAGCCCTGGTAATGCTTTAAAACAAAGCTAAAATTGAAAAAATAAAATCACATCCAGATGCAACCTTAAAAATGTAAACTAGTAAAACATTAAGCTGTAAAATCAACATGAGTCGGTGGCTGAAGTAATGAACAAAGGGGCAAAGTTCAAGCAGATACATAAGCAAGATTCCTCTCTTCCCCAATTTAAAAAGTCAATATTTACTGTAAATCTGTTTAATACACCAATGAATTGCTTTAAACATTCCTTTGGGTAGAACTCTTGATCTCCACCCTGGAGCACTGATGAGATCCACTAGTCACGGGCGGGATTCAAAGCCAAGTCCAACAAGCAGAGCAATCTTGACATTGCTCCGAGCTTTAGTCACAGAAATACGGTCATTATTGTGGCAGTTAATTAAATTAGGCTCTTTCCTATTAATATTACATTCACCTCCATATTTTAAACAGCCCAAATGTCAATTTAATACATTCCTTATTCAGTGTTTAGCCCTGTGCCTTTGAGGCATCCCAAAAGCTGCTGTGTTTTGGAAGGCTTTTAAAGGTGAAAGACTTTGAGATCTGGACCCACTTAGATGCAGACCTTGGTCAAGTCAATGAGCAACAGCAGCCCCTGCTTTGTGTAGTTAAGGACTGTCACTGAAAAGATGTATTTTAAGACTGAATTTCTCCTGAAGGAGAAGTAAAAATTTAGTAATATCTGGGAATATTAAATGCTAGTATAAGGTCACTGAATCAAATGGGACCTGAATAGAGATAGACCTATCCAATACGGTAGAATTCCCACAAGCCTTGATGTTACTGTAGCTTTTAAAACATTGACAAAACCTGCAGTTTGAGGCTCTGAGGTCTCGTTAATTCTTACAACAGAATCTTCTTGTATCAGACACTCTTTAAATGTGTATTTTCAGTATTTTTAGCACACGTGCTTACTCCACAAATGCTGGATGCTGCTGCTCACTAACTTAACCTGGAACACCCACAGAGTTGCTTTATTTCCCCTCAGAGTTGTGAAGAAGTGCTGGAGAGAGTTCTTTGTTCCCAGTCACAGGCTCCAAGCAAGGATCCAGGTTCTGAAGTGGTGGAAGACCCTGTGTCAAGGACCCCTGGTCCGAAGGCACAGCCAGGACAGGTTACAAGAGCACCCAGCTCAGAGGACTTTGCATCAGGGCAGCATGAGGGATTTTGCCAGTCTTGTCCAGAACCATTTTTTGGTGCAAGGATTGGTGTAGTCACAAATCGTAATGAACCGTAAGATACTTGGAAACTCGTTCTTCATGGATTTGTACTTGACTGGAATCAGCCGTTTGTGACGAGCACCTGAAAGAGAGGTCACACAGGCACTGGGTTACCCAGAGCCACAGGCAGAGCCCACATCCATTCCCTCCCCACCACAGCATGCACACCACAAGATCCAGGCTTGCTCCTGACTGGGCATCATCTGATTATATTGCAACCAGCTCTCACTCTGGAGAGCAAATCTCTGAATCCTGATTTGCAGATATTCTCCAATGAATCCCCCTGCTAACATGGGCTGCTGGTTTTGAGACACCATGAGATGAGAAAACTCTCCCTGTGACTGCTGCTGCTTGAAGGAGCAGCTCTTCTACAGAGGAGTTTCTTCCCTTGTAGCTCTCCACAGGGACACCTGCCACCACCTGCACTGTGCCCAGCACAAGTGATGACATTGAGACTGGGATGAGGCAAATAACCAAGATTTCCTAACTGCAGCAGATGCTGGAGTAATCCATGGAGCTCCCAGGGCTTGCCACCAAACCCTTCTGTGCGTTACTAACACCCCACACAAACAGGGAACGCTGTGACTTCTCTAAGCCTGTACTTCCACCCGTGTTCTCATTGGCAGAGCTCAGGTCATTCCATACAGATAGAACTTCTTTCCCTGTTCTAATAGAAGGTGTGATGCCCACAAAAAAAAAAAAAAGATGAAGAACTAAAAGGACATTTTTACGAATCTTGACGACTGAGGGCTGATACAAAGTCCTGGGAGTGCAATGGATTAACTGATATCATATGAAATTAGTGTGTCAAGGAAGATGAAGTGAATTCATGTCTCTGCCACCAGCTTCCAGTCTATCCTCTGGAATATCCTTTATAATATCACATCAGATGCCTCATCTAGAAAAGAAACTTTATATCCAGATATTCTTCCCAGTTCTACATATCCTCCATACTATTAGGCTGGGCTGCACTTACTCCCCAGCAACACAGCCAACTGTAGAACAACTAGAGGCTAGAGAAGAGCAATCACAACAGACCTGGCAGAAGTAAATTGGTGGCTTTTCAACTCAGAACAAAATATGTAAAAAATTTCCCAACCTAAACTGACCATTCATTCCATATTTTGTTTACCTATCCACAATACTCAAGGATTCCTGCAAGAATCATAAAATGGAATGGGTTGGATTGGAAGAGGCCTTGAGGAATATCCAGTTCCAACCCTCCTGCTATGGGCAGGGACACCCAGATCAGGCTGCTCAGAGCCCCACCCAGGCTGGTCTTGAAATCTGCATGTTCATTACCTGTCACCTAATTCCAAGCTTTACTCACATCCTGGATCTATTATACTACTTGTCTCTTAAGCAGCAAATTTTCCTGTAAGGATGTGGGAACCCTTCACAAGCCTGACATGCAGCTCTGACATTTCTGGAGCAGGCAGCATTATCCCACTGACAGCTGGAGCAGTGCAGCACAGGCAGCTTCTCACTCACGGCCACGTGAGGAATGTCAGGAGCAGGGCAATGGACCGAGCCCAAGCCTGCACAACCAAATTATGAAGCCCCTGTTAGTTCCAATGGTCCATTGGACCTCAGCTGAAGGTTTAGCTGTCACTCTAATAAAAATGATAATATGCAATTGTAAATGGGATATTTGTGTGATCTTACCTGGGGAAAGACTAAGAGCAAATTTGGTCTGGAAATCACATTCGTCGCTTTCCAGGTAGTCATCTGAAACGACAACCACCATCCTCCGACACCTGGAGAGTAACCAGGGGAGAAAACAAATAAAATATCAAATGAGATGGTTTTCATTTCCACAGAGAAGTATGTACTGCTCTGAATTGCTCCAGTGGAGAAAGATCTGGCTGTGTTCCAGCAGGAATTAACAGACAGACACATAGTGATGTTACACCGAAAAACCTGATTACAGATACACACTCATATACCAAAAAAATGAGGAAACAGTGAAGTCCAGACTGTCAGTGCAACCTTCATGTGATCCTATGTCTATATATGACACACAAGGCAAAGAAAAGTGATTGAACGTAAGTAGCATCACCACAGTGGCACCTCCCTCATGAACACAATGAAGCGACACACTGGGGAATGTGACTGAGTGGTCATTTTTGAGCCAATAGCATAAATCCAACCCCATTAAGACATTCTTGTGGATTTTTGCTGTTTGACTGGCACCATGCTGCAGACATCACTGTAAAATGAATGCAGTGTTCCACTACACTCACAGCTGGCCCCAACAGCCACGGTTCACTTACCTCCTCTCTATAAGTTCTCCACTGATGGACCACACACAGGTTCCTGGCAAGACATCCCGATCAAATACACAGAGCTTCAGTTTGAACTGTGTTTGCTCCAGCTCCCTGATCATCTCCTGGACAAACTGGAGGTCTTTCTGACAGTAGCAGATGAAGGCATCAAATATCTCTGTTCCACTCCCTGAAACCATTAAAAATGTAGCTGTCATCTTCTACTATAAATGAAGTTCACTCCTATAGTGAATTTTCAAGAGCTCCCACAGACTTTAACTCAGAATCAGGAGTCTGACAGAAAAGCTCTGGCCAAACTTGCAAAGGGAATTTAGCATTTTATTAGATGAGCTGCCCTTCAGCCCAGAGTCCTGTCCTTAACAGGGCTGGCAGGAGGCAACACACATCAGTGCCCTGGCTGCTTTCACTGGCCAGGCTGTTCACACACACCCACATTGCCTGGCAGGGGTCAAGGAAAGGAGCTGAGGTGCAGACAGGCAAAATCTGTGGAGGCAATAACATCCAGCCACAGGGAGTCTGGGTAGAGCTGGAGGGAGCAGTGCACCCTAAGGGATACAACTCAGAGCCCTGACACTCTGGATTTCACTCAGTTTCACATCTCTAATATGCTTGTGGCTCTGGGTCCTTTTTCCCCAGTTCAAGTCACAGAGATTAAGACCTCCTAATCAAAACAACATTCAGCAATGTCCTGCCATCTGCTGTTGATGGAGATTATGGGGTGAGCCTTGAAATTTGGAACCTGTCATTTTTATGGCTAAGATGTCAAACCTGGGTACCTGAAGTCATATCCTAATGGGCCTGTTTTCCAATTACATTAATGGCTGGCAGCTCTTGTTTATTTAGAAGTTATCCAAATATTAACATGCTGCATTTTAAGGGCAATGTTTCTCATAATTAAGTGCCTTAATACTGCTGGATAATTTCCAACTGTGTTATTTTTTTTTTCCATATCAATGTCACTACAGATATATTCAATTTGTTATGCCAGTTAAAGCCTACCACAGTGAAAAAATAGGTCAGGCTCTAAAAGCTGCTGAGGAAAGTATCAACCCAGCAGGCAGATTCAGCCCAAGAAGCATCCAGTGAAGCAGAAGGGGAATGTCTGCCAGGTCAGTCAAACTGAGGGTACTGCTGCAGGGGCACGGCGCTAACTTGAGGGTCACGTCAGGTAAAGCTGCCATGTACAAACACCAGAATATTGGTCTGTGGACATCTGGGGATGGTCAGTGATGGCCACATGCAGCAAAGGTGGCCACCTGAAGTCAGACTGGCCAGCACACAGATGTGCACACACCTGGCTGCACATGCAGGGCTGCACACACAGCACCCATTTCTGCTCTCCACCCACTGCACACCCAGTCCTACTTCAAACCCACTTCCTTTTCATTCAAGGTGGTTCCACCTGCCAAACATAGGGCAGGGAAAGCACCTCTGACACCTTTTCCCCTGGGCTCCAACCCCTTGAGCTTTCAGCAGCTGCTGCTCTGGGCTAGGCTGGGCTAAGGGATGCATTTCCATGAAGTCTCCTCCCATGTGTGTCCAGTGGCTCTGTGCCAGCCTGTTCGTGGGTGAAGTGTTCCCCAGGGTTGCTTTCCCTCTCTGCTCTAAGAAACAGGAAAAATGAAGAAAGCATTCTGGTCTGGGATATGAAAAGTTGTGGGAATTATGAAAGCAACCACGTTTTTTGCACTTCCCATAGGGAAGGTGATTCCAACACAAGGCAGCAATGGAAGCTTGGGCTCTTACCGTACGGATCATCCCTGATGGTGATGCCCATCATTTCTGATGTCTTTGGCACACTGCTGTCCACTGCTGGCACTTGGAGAGGCTGGTTGGCCTCTTCCTGCTTCCTCTGCAAGTATTTCTTACAGTCCTCCTCTGCAAAAACACACAACCAGGGCAAGAGGTTCCTGTGATGTGGGTTTACACTGCTGGAATCCATTGAAAAGGGAATAGCTATTTCATGAGGGATGCCAGAGGGAAACCCCCTGTCTGGTTTCTTCAGTATGAAGAATTTCTCTCACCACTTTCTGAATGTTTTGATGCTGCCTCCACCACCTCCTCTAGCAATTAATTCCTGAAAATCACACTTGATATTTTAAGAAGTACTTTCTTTTACTTGTTTTATTCTTCCTTCTCCCCTTAACTCTACTACATCCCAGTACATCTTTAATACCAGGAATAAGGTACAGAGCATGTCCCAACTCTGCTATCTGCTCTCATTGTTTTGCATTTTGGAGTATTTGAAATCATAAAACAGTTGGGGAGGTTTTCATGGTGTCAGTCTTTCTGCCCATGTAAAAAGCCAGAAGCCAAGACAAAATGGCCTCAAGTTGCACCAGGGGAGGTTTAGATTGGATTTTAGGGAACAATTCTCCACTGAAAGGGTGGTCAGGCATTGGAAAAGGCAACACTGGAGACAGCGTCCCTGGAGGGATGCAAAAGATGCGTAGATATGGCACTTGGGGACATGGTTTAGAGGTGGCCTTGGCAGTGCTGGGTTAATGATCCTGTAGGTCTTTTCCAGCCTTAGCAATTCTCTGCAGACACACAAGAGCTGATTCACACCCTCAGCCTTTGCCAGCTGGGACAACTGCAAGTGACAATGACTATCCACACTCACCACATACAGCAGAACCATGTAAAATTTCAAGGAGCCCCTGAAGCAGCTTTTATGTTGTGCAACAGCAATAGGGATCCTCTTATCCCCAGCAGAGTAGACATGAACCCCACCCACCCTGAGATAACTGAAGATCTATTATAAACAGATTCAGTTTAAAAATAAATTATAAATCTAAAAGTGAAGCCTTTGGAGAAGCAACAACAAACTCTGCAGCCTCTGCTACTCTGCAATTACAGAAGACTTGAAAGGAGATTTGAAAACAGGAATTAAGAAAAAAGATGAAACTCCCTAGAGATTTTGCCTTTACGTAAGATTAAAAAAAAAACAAAAACCAAACCAGTAAGTGTTAATCAGTACTGATCAGCTGGCACAGCTGACTGGTGCAACAGCAGAGTAAAGGATCCCTTGGAAGTGCAGGATGCTGGTGGGAGCCCAGTGAGTCCTCCTGCATCACAAGGACAGGTCTGCAGGAACCCCAGCTTGAGGCCCCATCCCCTGCTTCAATCTCAGCTTTGCATCTTGTTACTGGATTATCTCCAATCTAATAAGGCTCAGATCTGATCAAAGATTTTCCTGAGGCTGAGGCATTCCCAATCTGCCTTTCTCCTCCCCTCAGCCTCCCCAGTCCTGCAGAGGGAAGAATCAGACACATTCTTTACCAGCCAGAAAGTTCAGATTTCACATCTTTCCTCACTAAAGCCCTAAGTCAGGTCCCACCTCTCTGCCAGCTGCCTGTTGCGTGAGGTGTGTCAGCTCAGTCAGTATCTTTGAAATCATGGTTAAAGTCACTTTGAAGTTCCCAACAGGTTCAGCAGTCTCAGGGAAAGGACTGGCACACAGCTACCACCTTAAGTGTGCTTTGATTGCCTTGGGAGCCAGGTTCACAATCTGAAATACTGCTGAATAAGCAAGAAGAGGCAATTATTTAACAGCATTGCATAATGCTCAATACAGAAGTGTTCATTTTCAGTGTATTTGCTCCAAGTCTTCTCTCATTGCCTCTGATTTGGGATGGATAAGTCCCCAGCTGGAAACAGCACCTGATTGTTCAGGTTAATGAGAGTGAACAAGGATCTGGAATGACTTTGGGACCATAAAGAGTGCTAAACAACGTAACCAAATAGAAAGAAACTCCTCCAAGCTGTCCTCCTCCACCAAGTGCCTAACTAGGCTTTACATTCCTCTGGCAGTCAAACAAATTCCTGAGGAAATGGAAAAAAAAAGAATAGAAAGATAAAATCTAAAGCACAAAATCAGCAGCATGATGAGAACACAGTGAAAACAGACCCAGTAACTGTCAAGCAGGAAACTAGCATGTAACAGGTCAGGGAAGAAACAAAAATCATTGAGTTTCAGCAGGAAAGAGCACATATGTATCAAAGCAAATATCTTCACATCCCTGAAGATGATTCTACAGGTAAATAAACTGCCGAGGAATATCACAGGGTAGAGGTGCTGGGACATTAATACTGATGTTTTCTGATTCTGAGCTGGATCCCACTGAAGAAGTTCCAGTGGTACACAAAGATGCCCCTGGCAACAGGAAATACCACACACAAGAGTACATTAGACCCTTTCCTTTTTCTTTTCCTTGTTCCTCTCCTCTCCTCTCCTCTCCTCTCCTCTCCTCTCCTCTATCTCTGACATCTGCAAGAGCTCTCAGCACCAGCAGCAGGTCACAGGCCCTCAGTGCAGTCCTCAGCCAAAAATCATAAAAGAAGAACAGTCACACTGGTCAGGCTGAAGGTCCATCAGCTCCATCCTCTCTCAAGCACTGCACAAAACCAGGTGTCTAGGGGGGAACATAACAATAAAATAAGCTTACAGAGGTATTTCCCTAATATATATATGTATATATGTATATATATATATAAATATATTTATGTATATATATGTGTGTGTGTGTCTGTGTATTTCTGTAAAATCTAATTTTTTAGGTGTAATCTACAATCTATTTTTATAATTTATCTTTTGGACTAGTCACAGTTAAGGAATTTCCTGAGCCACAGACAGTATTTCTGTTGAACAGTCCTTAGTGGGCCCCTCTTCCAAGAATTTACCTGTCTCCTCTTATCAGCATGACCTAACTCTGGGTAAAACTTTTTTTTTCCAGGCTCTTCCCACTCCTGCTGGAGTCTATTCCAGCTCTGACAAAGCCCATCCACCACACTCCCTTCCAGTGGGACACATCCTGAGCCAGAACCAGCCTGGGTGATCCCAATATTTTTGTCAAGCCCCAGATCTTTTGCACAGCTGGAATCTCCCCCAGATTTGTTAGGGACCTCTAATAAGCAGATCACAAAGACATCCCACATTTAAGTGAAAGAAACATCAGACAAACTGATGCTTTTGTGTCTCCCAAAACCTGGCATTCAGACTGTGATCTTAAGTAGAAAGAACCAGAGGACCAAAGGGAAGTCCTCCATTGCTTCTTGATCACGCTTTCTACAGAGATGGATTTCTACATCTTCCTTTATCCCCATGAGTAACAGGAAGTGAGATTTATTACTTCCTCGTTGCTAACTCAGTAAGCTACATTATACAACCCAGGCCTTCAGGGAATTCTCTGTCTTTGGAAATCCTTCAGCAAAAATTTTCCCTTCTGATGACAGCTGGGTTCCCTCAGAATTTCTCTGATCACAAAGAATACAAAGAATCCAAAAAGAAAAAGTTACCAGAACAGCACAGGAACACAGAACAGGACCTTCCTTTGATTGACCTATCCCAATTTTTTTTCAGTTTGCATGGAATTTTTTTCCCCTGACATTATCCAGTTCCACACATTCCTCATCTCCTCCAACAAACATCTTCCTATCACACTGTATCCATGCATCATAATTTTCACACTGTCCAGTGTCAGTGCAATCTGTCTCCTGGCTAACCTGGCTAAGAGCATCTTTTGACACACAGAAACTTTTTAATTGAAGGTTTGGGGTAAGACAGGGCTCCAGGTTACTTTGTAGGCTTCATGGTTAGCAGAAGCACAGCACGTGTCTCTCCTGGAAGCCAGGTGGGACTTCTGTGAATCACAGAATGGTTTGGGTTGGAAGGGGCCTTACAGGTCATCTCAGCCCATATCCTGCCATGGCCAGGGACACCTTCCACAGGTTGCTCCAAGCCCCATCCAACCTGGCCTTGGACACTGCAGGGATCCAGGGGCAGCCGCAACTTCTCTGGGAACCTGTGCCAGGGCCTCCCCATCCTCACAGGGAAGATTTTCTTCCCAATATCTATCTAATATCTAATCTAAATCTCTCTTCTTTTAGTTTAAAACCATTCTCCCTTATCCTATCACTATTTGCCCATGCAATAAGTCACTCTCTTTTTATAAGCCCCCTTTAGGCACTGGAAGGGGCTCTAAGGTCTCCCCGGAGCCTTTTCTTCTTCAGACTGAACACTCCCAGCTCTCTCAGCCTGTCTCCATAGCACAGGTGCTCCAGCCTTCGGAGCATCTTTGTGGTCCTCCCGACAACACCGAGGATGTCACTCCATAATCTGGAAAGGGCTTCTCGAGCGGGGTTTTTTCTTAACCTCACCTCCGCGGCCAGAGCAGCAAAGACCAATATGAACAGAAAGACCGACAAGGACAACATCCTCTCCCTCCCCAGGCACCAAGGAAGCAGCACCGGAGGGCAAGCTCTGGGATTCCCCGGCCGATCCGGGATTCCCGGGGCTATCCCAGCTCTCCCCGTTCCCAGCGCCTCACCCACGCTGCCGGCCAGGTCCGTCAGGACATCGTCGCGACCCAAGCGGCGCAGCACATCGAGGAGCTGCCCCACAGTGGCCCCGCCGGGGCAGCGCCCGGGCCATTCCTCCAGCAGCGAGGCCGTGGGGTCGGGCAGCCCCTCCAGCCGCCGGATCTCCAGGAAGCTGCATCCCAGCGCCTCCGCCAGCGCCGTCCAGTCCGCGGCCGCGGCCGCCCGCGGGTTGAGGTAGAGGCCGAGGCGGCGGCGGACGCCGTAGTTGAGCGCGACCATGGGCACGGCGTGCAGGTCCAGCGGCGGGACGGGGCTGCGGCCGGGGCCGGGGCTGGCAGCGGGGTCCGCTGGGGCCGTGGCCATGGCCGAGCCGCGCTCACAACTTCCCCTTCCCGGCACTTTCGCTTCGCGGCTCGCCCCGCCTCTGCGCCGCCCCCGCCGCTCGCTCTGCGTGCGGGGCCGGACGGGCTCGCAGCGGGAGATGTGGCCAGCAGGAGCCATGGAACCCCGTGCCCCGCACCTCGAGTGCTGCGTCCCGTTGTGGGCTCAAGGCAGGAAGGGCAGTGTGCGGCTGCAGCGGGCCCAGAGAAGGGAATGGAGCTGGGGAATGGTCTGAAGTACACGTCCTACGAGGAGGGAGCTGGCTGTTTCATCTGGAGAAAAGAAGACCCAGGGGGTACTTTATCACTCTCGAAAACTCCCTCCTGACAGAAGGTTGTAAACAGGTGCACGTCAGCCTCTTCTCCCAGGCAATAAATGAGAGTCTTAAACTGTGCTGGTAATTTTAGGTTTGACATCAGGAAGAATTTTTTCACAGAAAGGATGATTACATTGGAATGGGCTTCCCGAGAGAGGTGGTGGAATCACCATCCCTGGAGCTGTTCAAGGAAAGCCTGGATGTGGCACTCAGTTGACATGGTGATGTTGGGTCACAGGTTGGACTCAACGGTCTCAGAGGACTTCAACCTAATTGATTCTGGGATTCTCCTGCTGGGCTTTGTCCCAATGTAGTGCCCTGCCCTCTGAAGTGGCATGGACAGGGATCTGTGCTGTGTGTCAGGAGACACTTATGCCAGAGAGAACAGTGCTGTCACTAAAGCTGTTTCACTCTGTTCCCCCCAAATCACCCCCTGATGGCTACATTCCTGCCCAGGCCCCTAATACAACAAATGGAATTGTTAATGTGGCCCTGACAGGGCTAATGTTCAAAATCACTTAGTTTTTTCTGCTTTTGGCAGAACAACTTGCTCTTGTGTTCAGTGTGTGTTTATTTCTCACCCAGACCTGAACCCATCAACCCAAAGGGTTCAGGGATTTTACAGTGTTACAGTAATTCTTTACAGAACAGGCCTAGTGGATCTCTAGTAGCAATAAATCCAGAACCGTGTCCCATCTTTGGTGGTCAAAGTGTTCAGATGTGGGCTCCCCTCAGATGACAGTGCTCCATAACAGCACAAATATAGCCATCTCCAAATTCCCAAACTCTTCCAGCAAGTAGAACATTCTGCATAAAAATAAAATCCTAATAATGGTTAAGGAACCATTTCAAACTGTTTTTGATGCTGATGTGTACAAAACACAATTCTTGGCTATGAACTGAATATTTTTCAGCTTCCAGGAACCAAAAACAACAGGGTACTGCACAGAAGTTTTCAGGAAGAACACACTGCTTCTCCAAAGTACTGCAGCAGACACAGTAAAAGAACATCCTCTGCAGTCTCTGTCTATGGAGGAGGTCTGTGAAAATGAGGAAATATTCCAGTAGGAAAACTTTTAATTGCACAATGATTGGTGGGTTTAAAACTTTAAAACATGAAAAATTAGCATAAGAAGTTTCAGTTCTGACTGAACACCTGCCACATAAACCACTGGCTCCAGATTGTAAGGAGAGGTGCTAATACACAACCTCCAAACACCCACATCCAGCAAGTGTTCCCAGGAACACCAGACAGGCAGATCCCATGTTATTATACCGTGTCAAACCTGTATCTTTGGCTTGTTCAAGATGATTAACCATTATCCAGGCACCCTTAGCAGCAAAACCTCCTGCTGAGCACTCCTTCAGCCTTCAGCAAGCATCTTTCTTGCGAGAGAAGTAAAAATCTATCCCTCTGTCCTTGTGCTGTGCTGGTCCCCTCCTTCCCCTGGGATGGGGACTTTCTCCCTGTGGCAAATGACAAGGAAGAGCAAGATATTTACTGATGCTGCAGGGTGGATTTGGTCACAAAGCAGTGCTGACATCCAGGAGAATGTGCACATGGAACTTTTGCTTCCCAAGTTCACTCAAAAAGGCAGGAAGGCCTGACGGTCACTGCTCTAGACTGAGATTTAGGAAACCAGGATTTATGGTAAGGTGAGAGCTGGGAAAGTTGGTCAAAATTGAACTTTTGCCTGATGGAGCTTTTTGGCTTCAAGTTTCATCACTGCATCAAACTGGTGTCTCACTAAGGTGCTCCTGCAGGGCCCTTTCTCTCATCCCCGGTTACTAATCCAAGCCCTCCAACAGCATGGATGAAGCAGGTGGCTTTGCTTCCACAAAACTTTCCACTCATGGCAAAGAAATCTGGCTTAAAACTTTGGTACTGCACCTTGGGATTAAAACCTGAAATAGGGGCATGTTTCATTCTTCACTGACTTGGTACAACATCTAAATTTGAGCCTTCACAAAGTATCCTCACTCAGGAGGAGGCAGGGAAGAAGTATGAGGGAAAGGCAAAATGCTGAATGCTCTTGTAATACACAGCCCTTGGTCACATCCATTTCCTTCCATACCCATCTCCTCCAAGAACAGCATCCCAGGCAGCAGATAAAAGCCTTGAGGTGTTGCAGGATCAACATCTCATTCTGCCCCCGTTCTAAAGGGGAAGATACACCCAAAAAGCAAAGTGCAAGGAGCAGTCCCCATATTTACAGGTCTTGCTGACTCCAGTTTGAGTGCACTCAGGCAGGAAGGTGGTTGTTTTTACTTCCACCTCCTGAACAGAAAGGACACTGGGTTGTTTCTCTTCTGTCCACCTGTATCCTGGGGTGGTCACACCAGTGGAGGCCTTGGAGAAACCCCATCCCTCTGGCATGGAAGGATGCTCAGAAGGATCCTTTTAGCTGTGGCTAAAACCTGTTGACTATACAAGGGACAGAGAAGCAGCAAAAATTTACATCCTTCACCACAGTGGGTAGGACAGACAGCTAAATAATCCTGGCTGCACAGTCCCTGCTGTGATGTGAGCTTGCAGTAAAACAACTTTTTTTTCCATTACACCTGAGAAAGAAGAGCAGAACTCATAGAAACTGATGCAGAGCAGCCCCTGGAGCCCTCTCACCCCATCCCAGCCTTCCCAGTACTCACAGGCCTCTGGTGGATGTGCCGGCTCCACTCTGGGGCTGTCACCACTGGCCATGGGTAGGTCTCACCTAGAGTTACTCCTGCCTGGGAGAGAGCAGCACTGCTCAGTGCCCAGGGGGTGTGGATGTCTGCTCCCTTTATGCCCTGCAGTTCTGGAACCCACAGCCGGACATAATCCCCCTGCAAACAGAACCAATGGCACAGGATGCATTCAGTGACAATCTCTAAGTGCTTCCCAGAAAGGCTCTTTCTCAATTGGAAAGAGAGGAGGCAGATTTCCAGGTAGAGGAGCTGGTGTTGTACAGCATCAGTTACCTCTGACAAGCCCTTAGCCCTTCTTGCTAAATCCTCCACCCAGAATTAATGCCTAAAGAGAGATGCTGGAGCTCTTCTCCCATGCTCCCACTGCAGGCAGAGGGGGAGGCAGAAGAGCATTTTCAGCACTGTTCACCTGTCCTGTTTAGGACATCCTGAAACGAAGTCACCACCAAGTAGTTTCCCATGACTGAAGGCAAATAGGATGACTAGCACAGCTGCACACTCTTGTGTTCCTGAATCTCTCCTATTAACTCTACTGCTGTGTCTTCTACTAGGACTAATTTCTGATTTCTTGTTAAATCCTGCCAGCTACAGTGCCAAAAGGCAACAGCACAGCCTGATGTGAAGCTAAGGAATAGCATGGAAACAGGTAACCCAGTATGTGAATACTGGCTAAGCACATGGAAAGGGCAATTTATCTGCTCCCACCATTTAAGAGAGGACAGTCAGAGGAGTCACAGGTTTAATCTACTCTTCAGTACCTCTCAAGGAATGGCTCTGTCTCTCAGATAACTCCTGAGTTCTCCAAGAAGCTGCTCTGTGCTCAGGAAAACATCTGTGCTCAGTACTGATGGGATGTGGCTGTGACTAGGAAGAAATGGTGATGAAACACTTAACACACTGACCAGGGAGGGTGTGGGGAGTTCCAGCCTCCCTGAGGACAGCAGCTTGTCCTGTACACAAGGAGGAACCTGCCCGACTGCTGGCCAGGATATATGAGAACTGGTTTGGTATCCCCACAGCACACTGATCTCCTCTGCTCCCTGAAAACACCACATGTCCTTACTGCACTCATCCTTGTAAAACAGCCAAATGAGACTTACATTCCCATCGTAATCCAGGCCTTGTTTGATCATGTTAAATTTCCTGTTGTCCCGTGGGTCGTTGCCAATGCCAGTGCTGTATAACCAGTTGCCGTAATTGCTACAAACATCATAATCCACCTTGAGAACAGAGGGAGAAAACAGTCAGAAAAGCTGACCTGGCCTTTGGTCAATCTTCTTGTCCATCCTTTAGCTCAGGGGGAAAATTCCTTGAATTAGATTCACTCCAACCGGACTGGGGGTGGTCAGAGCTCCCCCATGACGGTAGAAGCATCTGGCTCAGAAAAGGACGTGCATGGCTGCTTTTTACAGCTGGGATCAGGTTCCCAGGCTACTTCAATTCACAGCACTTAAGTCAGTGAGATAGATAAAAGTCCAACCAAAGTCTCTTTCTGCCATCATCTGGCAGACTTCCCAAGCAGCCCTAGAATTTGGATGTTCATATTCCAAAACAAAGTATTCCAATATAAGAGAAAATTCTTTCTGACCAGTTACCCAGACACCACACACTAGCAAATCAACTCTGCAGATCCTACTAGGCAGTTTGGAGAGAAGTCTAACTCAGACTGTGCAGAAAAACCACAGTGTATATGAGGATGCAAATGATACAAACACTGCAATTTTTTCCCATTGTCAAGTTATTCCTTCTCTAAACAAATAAAAAGCTCTCAAGGATGCTTATATAAAATGGAGTGGGGCTTTTGGAACAAGCACAAATGAGAGCAGAACGTGATCCCATCTGAGTGCTCTTCAGCTGGGCAGGGTGGCTTAAATCCAACACCAGTTTTCCAGTTGTAGGATAACTCAAACCCTGCTCAGGAGAGAAGTGACAATAAGGAGGGTTTGGGATCTCTGAGCATTCCTAGGGTTGTCTGTGCTGCAAAAGCAGCAGCTGTGGCAGAAAGAGCTGGTTCAGTGCTGTTCTCTTCTCCCTTTACTGCAGCCACAGCAGCAATGAGCCCACAAAGAGATGTCCCCAAGATGTCAGCCACTCTTTGGAGTGGGGAGCTCAATGCTCCAGGATGGCAGAAGGCTCAGGGAACGGGCTCTGACAAGCTGCCCTTTCTCTGCAGGGCCAGTGAGTGCCGGGGTCAGGGTGAGCAGCAGCCAGCTCTGCTCCCTGTGCACCAGGCTTCCCCTTCCCAGCTCGCTTCCTCCAGCTGGTGAGATAAGGAGGGAAGAAAGATGCCATTGGAGGCCTGATTGTTTGATTAACATGCAGGAAAGCGTGTGTGGGAGGTGAGGGCAAATCCAAGGGGGCCTAGAGGAGGCAGGCTCATTTCCCCCTCAGCCTTGCCCCTTCCTGGCATTCTCTTCTGTTTGTTTCTCTGCCTTTCCTTGGGGCTTGACCCTGTGAATGGAATCAATGAAGTCAGAGCTGAGACATTCTCAGTTCAAGACATCAGTGGTCTCTGGCCTTTCCCCTGGCTCCATCAGCTTGCAGAGAGTTTGTGCCTCAGTTTCCCTGCCTGTCTGGTGTGGATGGCACACATAAACACTTGGTGGGCCTTTCCTGGCAGTATTGGAGATGAAATAGACATTGCTTTCCCTTTTTTTGAGGCAAGACCAGTTTCAGTTCTGCACTGGCCTCTACCCCTCTACAGCTGTGCCTTCCCCACCAAGCTGATGTCTCCTGTGTGCTGCTCTGGGGATATCACCAGGTTACAGTAACAGAGCTGTGTGACACCAGATGGGACAGAAGGACACAAGGATCAGCCTGTGCCACACCAATCTACAGTGGCCATCAGCATCTGGGGCTTCCCAAGGTGAAAGGGCCAGTGCAGCATGCTAAATTCTGCTTCAAGCAAGGCTGCTATTCATATCCTTAGGAATAAATTTAGATAGCTTTCTATTATATTATTATATTATAATAAATGTAGCATCTTTCTAGTGTGAGACCTTCCAGGTCTTCCTCACTTGTGGAACAGGACACACTTGTGGAAGGCTCTTGCTCTTATCTGGAAAAGCATCACTATATGGAGCTCCCAAAACCCCTTTCTGGAGGATCCTGAAGTCCTGCACCCTGTTGTTGTCCAAACCCACTGCTGCTCACAGCATTGGCATGAGAGAGCACCCAGATTTTCTTCCTGCAGCCAGAGCCATGTCAGAGCCCAGCTCCAAGGAAGTTAAAAAAAAAATAAATCATTCACAAAAAAGTCTCTTTTAATTGCAGATATTGGCAAGGCAACTGGGCTTTCTCTGCCCATCCAGCATTCTAAGTAGAAAGTTTTCTGATTGCCAGTAGCCTCCTGTATCCCACAGATAAGACCTTTAATGTGAGGCTGATGTGACTCTTTGGCCTTTTTCAGTCAGTACCATGAGAACCCACGGGGACTGAGGTCAGAAAAGTGACCCAGCTATTTAACTGAGCTCACACAGCTGCTGATTGATATATGAGAGATGAACTGGTGCTCCAGTTGGCAGGGAGGCCTGTAACACCCCAGAATGAAGAAGGATGCCTCCAGCCAGGGTGGAGCTCTGTGGAAGCTGATCCAGCTATTGTCCCTACTTGCCTGAGCTTGACTAGATGGCTTCCCAGTCCACAGCCATCGATGCAAAGACGCTGTGCCAGCACACACTTCTTTTTATGTTCTATTTCTGGGCTGCCCTCCTCCCCAGCCTCTGGAGTGAGCAAATCAGAGCACTGTTATCGTAATTCATGTTTGAAAATTTCCTCAAGTGCGATGGATCTCTGGCTAAAACCCTACACAGAGAATCAACACTTACTGCAAACTTCCTAGCTACATCTTTGCTGATGGCAGCTCCACTGTGGCAAAATTCCTTTTACTTATGTGAGCTTTGGGAAGTTCACACCCTGCAAAACCTATCTACATGGCCTTGTATCAGCCTGAAAATTATTGATCATCACCTGTACCCTTTCTTATAAATCAGGGCTGTCCTCCTGCCTGTCATTAAGCTCCAGGTACACAAAGAGCCCAGTCTTACCAGCAGGTATTCAAACCATTCTGCCCCCATCCTCCAGTCCAGCCCCAGGTCTTTGGTGAGGAAGCTGGCGACGTTCTGCCGCCCTCTGTTCGACATGAAGCCCGTGGCACTCAGCTCCCTCATGTTGGCATCCACAAAAGGAACCCCAGTTTTGCCCTCTGCAGAGACAAAACACAGCACTGGGATATCAGGATGCTTTTGGGCACTCATAAAGCAGCCTGTGGTCATGTATTCACTGTCATTTCCAAGACAGGGCCAGTGCACAGTGGCAGGGAGAGATTTCAGTGTGGTTTAGCTGGAGTGCAGCCACTAAGATCCACTGAAAATTAAATGGGATATCATACTGAAAATTAAGCTGGGGAGAAGTTTTGGCAAGAAGAAAAAAAAGAAAAAGTACAGAAAAATTTCAGACTGGAAAAGCAATCAGGTCAGACTGGAAAAACAATCAGGTGGGTTGCAGGGAATTTTGCAAAGTAAAATAAATATGCAGACAATACTGAGATGGGCCAAGAACAGAAAGATTCTTGACAGGTGACTAACAGAGGGATGTACTGGACAAATCCCCCAGGGTTAGTAGCTAAAAAGTAGAGTTTGTCTGTTGTTAAGGAAAAGATTTACTGTGCCTGGATGATTTATTTTATCCTGTGTGCAAAGGGGTACACGTGGCATTAACACAAAAAAAGATACAGAAGTGTGTATTGAACTGATTCTAATGCTTTAATCTGTTAGTCCCTCCAAATTTTGAGATATTATGCTCATTATTCATGTTACAACCACAAAGTGACAACAGCTAAAGAAAAGGCTGTGGGATTACAAAAAAATGGGATTTAGTCTCAATCTGTTGTAACCTTGTAACCAAAAGCAAACAGAACCAAACATAGCAGGGATGGCAATCTAGTATTGATAAGAAGGGCTGGTCAGCCTCTGTGTGACTAAACTGAAGGGACCAGCAGGTCACAAACACACCCTCCCGGGCAGGAAAATCTACCTGCAGTGCACCTCCCAAAGCAGGGAAACCCTGTGGGCTGCTCCTGTACGGCACTCAGTCGGGGAAGGGAAGCCACACACATTCATACCCTGGTGATGCCAGTTTAAATGCCAGCCCTGGCCATGCTGGCAGCTCCCCCCCAAAGACCTGAGTCAGTGTCAGGGCACATGTGAGCCCCAACAGAGACGGGAGAACAAAACACACCCTGCCCCACCTGTGGTCTCTACTGACCTCTCCAACAGCCAAAGAGCTGAAGGTCCTTTTTCCAGGGGATCTCTTTACTTTGAAGCCCTGTGGAGGAAAATAATCACCTGCTGATGAAGAAATACTGACAGTTACTCACACCACAAGGCAGCCAGGGGTGCTTTGTTGACACCAGGCATGAGGGTGAGGCTCGGCCTCTCAGTGCCATTACAAACCTCCTGCACATGTTTAGAGATGATCCATTCCTCCCCTCAAGTGTTGTAAAGGGGTGTCTTTTGCACACAGAAGGTGTTCAAGCCCTAATGGATTTTGTCTATTTGTTTTGCTGATGTTTGCTTTTTTTTTCCCTTTTTTAATTAAAAATGACTCAGACCTCACAAGTGGACAGAGATGTGCTCTGGCCCACACTGGTATTTTCTTTTTCAGCTTTACTCCAGGATAATGTTTATGGGAAATCTGTTTCTGTAGCAGGTACTACACCCAGAATTACCTGGCAGAAGCCCCAGGTAACATTTTGCCCCTGCAAATGGGATAGGAACAGATGAGTGGGATGATTTGATGTTTGCAGGATCAATTACAGCCTTCTGTGCAGTGGAGCAAAGACAACAGGGACAACTCAACTCTAGTTACAAACATTCAAGATCAGGCCCACCACTGGCATCCAATGCCATCAGAACAGCCACACAGGCCTGGCAGATGTGACACAGGCCCTGAGAGAGATGTGTCCCTCTGCAGCCACAGCTGGATGGCAGGCAGGCTGCCCTGGAGCATCTAAGCCAGTGCTGCATCACCTGCAGAGCAGCTCACCCAGCACAGGCATCACCTGCAGGGACTCCAGACACGTGGAGTGGGTAATTTTTGTTGCACTGAGTGTTCAGACCCCCATTTCACATGCACACTCCTGTCACTGGGGCTGGAGCTGAATCTCATTCTGATTCCTGTGTAATGCAGTATCTGGTGTCTTGGGATTCACGCTGCTGGGTCAGTTCCTGCTCTGTCCCATGTCCTCTGGAGAACCTGGGCAAGCCTGAAGCCTGGATTCTGCCGAAAGGTGGAATTCTCTGGGAACAGCATCTTCACTCTCCTTGTGCTGCTGTTTCCCACAGACATGTGTGAATGATACTCCCTGTATCTAATCAGATTTGGGGATCAGTGAGCACTGTGGTGCTGAGGCACTTCTGTGCTAGCAGAGAGTCCCCAGCAGCACCCCAGGGTGCTGACACAACACCTTGAGATGAACATTTGAACAACTTAATGCCAACAGCCTCTTCTCTTACTGTCCCTGTTGTAAGAGAGTACCTTTCCCTCCTCAATGTGGTGATCCATACCCACCTCTCAATGAGAAAATCCTCCTGCCGTACTTCAGGGCCACAAACCGAAAGTAATCCCTCCACAGCAGTTCAAACAGGACCCTGAAACACAAAGCCATCTCAGTGTTTCACTGTGGGTCAGATATGATTACTAAACCAGGATTTTGCTTCAATACAACCCATCATTAACACCGTGAGGTTTATTCACAAAGAGCCATTTCAGGACCAGTTCTTTCCCCAAGCCTACTTACCTGGCTTACAGGGAAAGCAAACCCTGCATGAGTCACTTGGGAAGCTTTCCTCAGCTCACGTGCAGGAAACATGTTCCTCCTCACATGTCTCAGGAAACATGTTCCTCCTCCAGCCCTACTGGGATGTGATTCTCCACAGAGCAGGGCGAGGGCCTGATTCAGCTTCACACTTCCACAGGAATGAGAACATTCCTGAGAGATTTGCATTGATTTAAGCAATAACCTTTGCAAGGCACCCTAAGACGCCTTTCAAAACTGATTTACAGTGCTCCAGCCCATTAGATCAGGTGCTAGGCCCACAGAAAAAAATGACAGTTTTATATAAAAACTTTTATATAAAAAGAGCTTTTCATAAAATGATGGCACATCAGCCTCAGAGACCTGCTTCAACTCTATGCCATATGGGGAGCACTCTGCTCAGCTGTTTTTTAGGCTGTCAAGATCCTCCTGGATAATCTGGTTATGGAACAGAATTAAGGACTTAAGGAATCAGTTAGGTTGGAAAAGACCTCGAGATCATCCAGGCCCATCTGTGACCAAACACCACTGTGTCAGCCAGACCATGGCACTGAGTCCAGTCTTTCCTTAAATAACTGCAGGGCCAGTGACTCCACCACCTCCCTGGGAAACACACTCCCATGTCTAATCACCCTTTCACTGAAAAAATTCCTCCTTATGTCCAACCTGAACAGGACACTGTCCGAATTCTAAAAAGTAGTGTCATAACACTGAGGTTTAATGAATCCCTCAAGTGCAGCCACCATGACCTGTATTCATTGTACAATTAACTTCTTGGGAGTTTGACAGCTTCATTTTTATAATTACTGAATATTTTAAAATGCTAAAATCACCATGGCAGGCCAGCTGCCAGCAGGCTGGCTGACTGTTAGATGGAAAACAGGAGTATGTTCATTTCTTGAAATCTTTCCTCTCTTAATTATCTTTGAAATAAAAAAAAAAACCCAAACATACACTTCATGGGTGTTGATACTTTATCTGTCATTTGAATTTTAATGAAACTGAACATTTTGGCCAGAATGGTTGGCAGTGTTCTGCCTGCTCTTCACCAACCACTGTGCTGTTTGACATGTTGCAAATGTAGCAAACCAAAATGCATATTTAGTTCTAGAGTTTGCACAGACATTACAGTTTGGGATTTTTCCCATCCAGGTCTAGTGTTACACCAGGCTCTAACATGAACCTGTTTCTCTCTGAGAGCTCCAGGTTCTGATTCAGTGTCTGGGCAGATCTGAACAAGTTCAGGGCCAGCCCAGGGGATGGATAAACTGAGAGGTGAGGAAAAGCATGGCTGACAAGATGGGATGCATTAAACCCAATTCCCAGTGTCTTTTCCTCTCTGCTCTGATGTGGTGGTCGTGGCCAGGCAGCTGAGCAAACACGGGGCCACTTGCTGCACTTGTGGCCATGGGACCTTCAAACACCATGAGATTTGCACAAGTCACACAGTCACGGAGACTTTTGGGCTCATATCCTTGATCTGAGAAACCCTTAGGCTTTTATTTGTAAATTATTCTTCCTTCTCATTTAGCCCATAACAACAACACAGAGATGGATGGTGCTGATTTGCTGAGATTATTTTCAAAAATCAGCAACCACAGCAATAATAATAATGACAACTGGCACTCATAATCTTTGCTTACAAAGTGCCTAAAGCCCCTGGGTGTTGAAGACAGACTAACAAATCCATACTGAAAGAGAACTACAGTGCAACCCAGAGGAACCAGCCAGCAGGCACTGGAAAAACAAACATTAATTATGAAGAGAGTTAACAGATCACTCTCCTGTGCATGAAATGCCAGGTTCCTTTTCAAAGAAAATAAGCCATGCTGATGGTGCAAAGACATACCAGTATGTGCTCTGATTTGCTGTTCTCTCTCTCTCATACTTCTGGATCTGCTCATAGATGTATCGAGGTGAGATGCAGCCCAGTGCCAGCCTGAAAGCAGAGGAATGATGCCCTGAATGCCAAGGACTGACAGCTTGATGTCAGCTCAGAGGGAGGAGAGGGGCAGTTTTGGGTCTAGAGTTGTTGTCTAAAATTTTTGTTTGGCTTGAAGTTCTGACCCTGACTTCCTAAATGGCTTTAGTCAAGTTGTAACTTCTCTGCAACTCTTCAAGACAGAGAATTCTCTTCCAAGTATCAAAATCCTCCCCTTCCTGGGGTAGGACTGTTACAGGACTCTCCAAGCTATAAATAATTTTACTCAAGTTTGACAAGTTTTTCCAAAATGATTTAACAAACCCAAGGACAAACCCAGAATAGAATCTCAAATGTCAACCTCGGCATCACATGTCCCACCAGTCCTTTTACCACAAACCTGCTTATCCTATGCCCAGGGCTCCTTTTCCTGCAGAACCTCAGTGGCTCATTTGAGCAACCACAGAAGGCAAGTGACTGCTGAAAATCTCAGCCCTGGCAGAAAAAACTAGGGAATCAAACCCCACTCTGGCATTTCAACCCACTGGGCCCCTTCTATTTGCTCCAAATCAGTGCTGCTGCAAGACAGGAAAGAACTCGCAGACTCCAACCCCATCACACAGAGTAATAAAGAACAACTTTTACCTTGCTTTTTCTATAAATGCATTTTACTGCCATTTCCACTACAGCTTGTGGGAACACTGGATGTTCTAATGAATTGTGGAAAACAGGAAGAAAGGCTTTGAAGAGTTTTTCCTTAATTGCTGACCAGCTATAATGGCCAGTGTGAGATGGGAACAACTGGATGCAACCTGAACCGCTCTGATTTTGATTACGTGACAGAGGAACATTTTGGGGTAAGCAGATCAGGACTGTTTGCTCTGTGCAAATGGTCAGCTCGGAAAATCTCAAGTGAAGGCCACAAATAACAAGCTTCCACGGAGCCAGCAGTGCTGGGATCCCAAAGTGCCACCAGATGGAGCCATCCACTGCAACCATCAAAACACAAAACTCGCTGGAAACAAGAAATCCTGACCTGTAACAGCCTCAGAAATTTGGTTCTCATTGCAATTCTGTTGGGAGAATCCAGATGCTCTCAGCTTAGGCCAAACTGGGTTCTGCTGCTTCTTCAGTTCCAGTCTGGAATTAACTCTGTCTCTTCCAGCACCAGGGACTAAAGCCCCTAATTAAAAACCAAGATATTTTCCTGAACAAAAGATCCTTTCCAACAGGAATAATCAGAAGTGTCTCTTCACCCCACAGAAAAAGAGAATGGCAGTGAGGTGGGGTGACTTGCCCCAAAGTATTCAGGAAACCAGGACTGGGCTGAGTTCTGCTACAGCCCTAGCAGCACACTGAAGCTGTGCAGCTTTCCTGCTTTTCCCTTCCCACACAAAGCAGCATGGAGCCAAAGGTAAATGGTGAGTTCCTCCTGCTCCCTGTCCACACTGGTGCTCCCAGCACACCCAGCTCTCAGCACAGCTCTGCCTCACTGCAGCAGTTCCAGGGAAGTGCAGCCTCAGAGCTGCTCTACCACAACAAAAAGAGCCAAAGGAATCTCACCTAGATCCCTACCCATGCCTAGAAGCACTCAGCAGAGAGATGACACCAGTTTGGGATGAAAGCAGAAAAGGATTTTCCAATCTCAACAAAAATCTTTACCATGGTGCAAATTTGGTTGAGTAATCCATTCCCACCAGCCCATTCCGAGTCTCCTTGTAAGAAGCAACCAGGTTCTGTGAGAGCAAAAGAACGAAAGGTTTGAATACTTTACAAGCAGCCTGCTAAATGTTCTTTCCTTCTGGAGCCAGAGCAATCTGGCAGGGCTAGGCTCCCTCTCATGGCTGCCTGCAAGGATTGCACAGCTGCCCAATTCCTGTCTCCAGCACAGGCATGAATCAGGCCAGCAGTTTTCATTGTAGCTCTGGGGTTTGTGTCACAAGCTGTGCTCCCCGCTTCAGCCCATAGCACGTTTCTTTCTGCAAGCATTGTGCACCTGGTTCTTGCTCTCCCTGCCCATTCCCATCTGGTTCTGGAGCAAAATCCCACTGAAAAGCACCAGTGGAGCTGGCAGCCTTGTGGCTGCTTATTTGGGGGTTACAGAACCAGTGTGACAGCACCCAACACTCAGCTGCAGGAACCCTGACTGCTATTGTTTCTGTGCTCCACACATTTACAGCAGGATGCAGATCTTCCATGTTCTGAGCATTCCATGGGCAAGGCAGAGGACACAGGGAAGACCAATTTCTCCTTGATCACCTTCACTGCACAGGTTACAATTGCTAAAGGGCTGTTGCAGCTCACTGGGGAAGATGGTATTTGCATTAAAAAAAAAAAAAAAAACCCAAAAAGAAGGAACAGGTTTTCCAGCTCTAATTTAATTAATGCTTGACCAAGAGCAGAAGCTATGTACACTTGCACTCATTTTGGTTGGGATGGAGTTAATTTTCTTCCCTGTAGCTAATCTGGGGCTGTTTTGAGTTTGTGCTGAAAACAGGGCAGATAGCACACCAATGTTTTCCTTACTGCTGAGCAGAGCTCACACAGCCTCAAGGCCTTTTCTGTTTCTCTCACCACCCCACCCAGAGTAGGCCAGGGGTACACAAGGATTTGGAAGAGGACACAGCTGGGACAGCTGACCCCAGATGACCCAACGGGTATTCTAGACCACATGATGTCATGCTCAGCACATAAAGCTGGAAGTCAGGATGTTTGGAGTGATGCCATTTGTCTTCCCAAGTAACTGTGATGGAGCCCTGCTTTCCTGAGGATGAACACCTGCCCACTGGTGGGAAGCACTAAATGAAACCTTACCCTCTTTGCCTGTGCACACAGCTTTTGCTTTCCCTATTAAATGGTCCTTAACTCAACACGTGACTTCTCCCACTTTAATCCTTCTGAATCTCTCCATCTCAGTGGCAGGAGCTGAGGGAGCAGCTGCTGTAGGGCTGAGCTGCCTCATGGGGTTAAACCAGGACAATACTCCCCAAAAGCAAAGGAATGCAGGAACTTGGGAAGCACAGCTGAAAGGATGCCCTGGGGGCTGTCCCAGAGAAGCACTGGGAACACCACGCTTTTAACCCATCTCAGCTGGAGAGGTGCTCCCTCCTTCATCCAGAAAGCTGCCTGGGGTCTGATGCTGTTGGAAATGAGCACATCTGTCTTTGAATTCAGACATGGCAAATTTAAGACAGTTCCTCAAACTAGACCAGAAAGAAGTTCAAAAACTGTCTGACAAATGCAGTCAGCAGGAGCTTCACTCCACCAAAGCAAGGAAACAAACAGTAGCTGCCATTATTGGCTGCAAGATTTTAAACCAGACTACAGAAACCTCTTACTATTTATAACTGCAGGAAGAACTTGGGTCAGTTGTTCCTCACCCCAGTTGCAATTCCAGCCCCTTCAGGCCACTTTTCACTCCTCCAAAGCAGAGGAACTACATTGCTGATGATGTGGGACATGAGCAGAGAAGGAGCAAATCAAGGTAAAGCAGCTAAAAAATTTTGTCCCAAGTCCCAGAAGTTAATGGAAAAAAATACTTCAGAGAGATGGCCAGTAAACTAGGTTCCTAAGTATTTGGCTTACATTTCCCAGTCCCAGATGACTTCTTTTTGGTCTAGTTTGTCTCTCTGAAAAACTGAAATAATGCTAATTCCCTTCTTTGCAAAATTTTATACAGGAGCTAAGAAAATATTATTAGGAAGTAAAATTGCAGCCTCACCCACTTGCACAGCCATGTGTACAAGGGGGAGGATGTAGGCAAGGAAATGTAAGAGTTACCGTGTCCCAAAAATAATATTGCAGCCTCATTAAAGCCTGGGTCTCTCCTCCACTGCAGGGGAAGGCTGTTCGGGGATCAGTCACGGGATCTGCCACAGAAAACACCAACACCCTGTTATTACCCCTGGGAACACATCTTGAAGGTAGGGAGCTTAAAATCTAGGGCTGCTCAGAAGTGGGGATCTCTGCTTTGGGGGCATAAAAGGTTGTGTGGTCCTCCTTTGAAATAAGGGTCATACCAAACACATTAAAAACCACGAAGAGGATGTTTCCTACCCAGCTGAAGGGCAGCTCCTCCACACAGGGAATTTAATTTCATTTTCAGTGTGAGTGAACTGAGGCTTAGTTACAGTTTGAAGGGCAACCAGTGCCTCTGTGTTTTGGTTCTCAGTAGGAGACATATCATAGAATCACAGAATGGTTTGGGTTGGAAGGGGCATTAAAGATCATCCACCTCCAACCTCCTGCCATGGGCAGGGACACCTTCCACTATCCCAGGTTCCTCCAAACCCTGTTCAACCTGGCCTTGGGCACTTCCAGGGATGGCACATCCACAGCTTCTCTGGGCAACCTTTGCCAGGGCCTCACCACCCTCACAGGGAAAAATTTCTCTCTCACATCTAATCTAAATCTCTTTTAATTTCAAGACAAGTATCTGCCTAACCCTGCAACTAGAGACAGATGCTTCTACAGCACCTGCCAGACTGAAAAGGCCATGGTAATCCAATTAACCTTAGGGACTGTATTGCATGTATCTCTCAAGCACTAGTTACCTCTGCATTTGTACAAAAGGACATTTTTTTCTCTGACAGAATATAATGTGCAGTGCAAGATGTTTGGTTTGTATTAACCATCAAAGCTCAAGTGCAGCCTGTGCAGGTACCTGATTGAGCCTGGCTGAACATCTGGAACAGCAGGAAATTATTTACTTTGTAAACCACATTCTTCAAAACAGACCTGAGTAAGGTATTTTTAAGAACAGAATCTAAGCAGGATTTCATTAGAGCAACTTCCAAATTAAGTTTTCTCACCCTTCTGTCCGAAATCCTCCATTGTAGGGATACTCCCTTCTTCCAGCCCTGGAGCCAGGGGCTTTAGCTGCTCTGCCATCCGCAGGGTTGGCCGGACCCTGGCCCCGGATTCCAGCGCTTTTCGGAAGTGGGTGTAGACATCAGGTAACCTGAACAGATGGGAGCAGTCAGGTCTCTGCCCTGGCCCCTCCACACACCCCTTCCTCAGGAGCAGGATTAGCATTCCAGGCTGTCCTCCCAGGTTTGTGATGCCTGTTTGCACACTGCCAGCACAATGGGGGAAGATGTCCCTGGGGGATACCAGCCACCAGAAGCTCAGTCCTTCCCCAGTTTCTTTCTGCTTCTGATGCAAATTGTGCCTTTTTGATTTAAGGTGTGTCGTGGTGGGGAAATCTCTGAGAGCCAGATTTATTTCACCTAACTTCTGATTAACACAGCTGGTCTCAGTGTAAAAATCTACATCCTCCTGGTGCCTTTTCAGTCAAAAGAGAAAAACAGGAATTTTCATGGCCTGACTTGTCTGCCCTTATTATATACATTTTCCACAGAATACCACAAATCACTCAATTCCATCAACTACACAAATGACTACTGAGGGAGCAGTGAAGAGTACACACACCAAGGTGGAGTTGGAAGTAAATAATCTCTTAGGTCTCTTCCAATCCAAACCATTTCATGGTTCTATTAAGTTGCTTCAGGTGAAGTTTAGATTGGATATTAGGAAAAGTTTCTTGCCAGAAAGGGTGGTCAGGCTGGAACAAGCTGTCCAGGGAAGTGGTGGAGTCACTGTCCCTGGAGGATTTAAAAGATGTGCAGATGTAGCACTGAAAGACATGGTTTACTGGTGAGCTTGGCCTAGTTAATGGTTTGATTTGATGATCTTAGAGGTCTTTTCCAGTCCCTGAATGAATGGTCAAACACACACCTTGGCTTTAGACATATAGAAGAATAAATCCTACTAGTGCAGAGGGCTGAATGTGCTGCTTCCCCGTTGTGTGCCTGAGTATGACAGCACTGTTCCATAAAAGCACAAACAGATGGACTAATAAGTCCTTTCTCTGTGGGACCAGAGGACTGGGAGCCCCCCTGAGTGAGAAACAAATGGGACAGTGGAGGAGAGATACCACAGAGCAGCCCACCTGTCAATAGGCCTGAAGGGAAGATCATCCCGGTGATACAGCGTGGAACCCCAAAATGTCTGAATCTTCACCCCGTGCTGCCTACACACCTGACACAGCCCCTTCTCCACATCCAGCTCCTCCTGTGTGGCCTAGGGAGGATAAAAGAGTGAGGCCAGGGCTGCAGAAATGCAGCTCCCACATACTCAAAGACTCTGGTCTCTGGTCTTACCCTCCTCATGCTTCTCCACATCACCTTTATCTCTTTGCCCCATCGAGGACTCCCACTCGGGGAGTCCCCATCCCAGGAACTACCCAGCTTCCCCAAGGTTAACAACACCACAGCCAAAAAAGCCTCTGAACACACAGGATCTGCATCACCACTTGGTTGTGGAAGAAACCTTCACAGCATCATTTTCTCTTTTAACTGTGTCACTCGAGTACTTCCCTTACCTCTTCATGGAAAACCACAGCAGTGACAGAGCCCAGCTGAGTAATCAGATCACCGACCACATCTTCCGGCTTCCCCTTCCTCACAACCAGGGTACTAAAATACAAAATATTGGCCTGAAATAGGTTGGATGTTATTGTTATTTATGTGTACAAGAGGCCACCATCCCAGCCCAGGCAGGCACTCGTGTCCTAGTTTTCTATGGAGCACAGACAGTGTGTGGAGGCAGACAGACAGGATTTGACCAGGCTGCATTTTTTAGGAGCCCCTGAACAGAGTTTGTAAGCCTCTGGGGCTTAGTTTGTGTCAAACACATTTCTGCCACTCTGGATGCCTTAGAAAGGATGACTGGGCACAAAGCCAGGCTGTTACCTAAAAGTGAATCTGCTCATTCTCACACACTAAAGAGATTCAAGGGCTGGCTGATCCACCTTGTCTAAGTTTCTTAGACAGGCTGTCCCATCCCTGGAAATATTCAAGGTCAGACTGAACATGGCTCTGAACCTGATCTGGTTGAAGATGTTCCTTGCTCACTGCAGGGGGTTGGACCAGATGGCCTTTAAAGTTCCCTTCCAACCCAAACTATTCTATGACTCCATGATATGTTGCTCTACAAAGCCAGATGTTTGGTAATGGATTCTTCAGGTCCTGGTCTACCCCAATTATGGTTCTAAAGGCATCATAAACAAGGATATCTGAGTCTAGAGACTGGGTTTAGTGGGACAGGGCATAAGGAAATGTAACTCTCCAGTCTCAGAAGCCAGGATCCATGCTGGTCTTTTCAAGCCAACACCTGGGAAAAGTTCTCCAGGGACAAGGAAGCCTCCAGGCCACAGTGGCTACTGTAATTGCCCACATCTCAAAATTCTGCCGTTCATGTTTCCCTCTGTCAGCACTCTGGGCAAAGCACTCAAGGCTGGCACTCATCTGGGTACCTGAGAAAGCAAAACGCCCGTGGCACAGAGCCTGGCTGGCTCTTTGTCCCCTGTGCAGGTGACCACAGCAGATCACCTCAACAGGGGCTACACACGGGACCCCCCTGCAGCTGACAGAAGGGCTGTGGCTCTCTGAAACAAGCCACCATCAGAGTACCCGACATGATGTGAGTCACAGCACAGGTATGTGTTAAAAATAGGAAAACAGAAATGTATGCGTTATTTGCACGGGGCTTTCTCAACTACCTTCCTTTTTTCTTGAGCGTTTCCCTCAGGTCCTTCACACTTTCCAGCAAAAACCTGAGCCTGTGTGGCCCCGTCTTTGGCAAGCTGTAGCGGTGGGTGCCCAGGTAGTGCCGCGGGTCGAAGCAGTAGAGGGGAATCACGAAATCCGCGTTGTGCTGAGCCCAGTGGAGCACCTGGAAGCACAGAGCGGGCCGTGAGAGCTCTCGGGGCAGCATGCAGGGAGAATCGCTGCCCATCCTGCCCAACAGCAGGGCTGTTCCTACAGAAAGCCCGGCGCTCCCTACCTGGTTGTCGTGGTGGCGCAGGTCGCAGCGCAGCAGGCAGATGGCTGTGCCCGCTGTCCCCGACATGCTCCCTCGGCAGGGCAGAGCCTGTGCCCGGCTCTGTGCCCCCTGCCCGGCCCTCATCCCGCCCCGGGGAGGAGCCGTCCTGCCTCCGCATCCCCGTGTCCGCCCCGGGCGCGTCCCTGAGCCGGGCGCGTCCCGGCCCGCATCCCTGCGGGGAGCGGGGCTGCAACCGGATCGCTTCCCTCGGTCTGGGGTCTCCTGAGGCTCACCAGAGCCTTGCCCCTGCCGGTCGCTCTTATTGCTGGGTGTGTTTTTTAACCTCTTCGTCTTTTGAAATCTCCGTCTTTCACACTCGCTGCAGCGCGGCCCCGTTGTGCTGAGGCTCAGCCGCCGTGACAGCGACCCTCTGCAGACACCGAGGGTGACACCGAGCCTGGCCCTGCTCTGACAGTGCTGATCCTTCAAATCCCACAGCGATACCCTTCAAATGCCAAGGCTGCGATGTCACGGTCACTAGCACAGGAACCAGAGTTTGTCACCTACTGACCGACAAAAGGCGAGCTGTAGATCGGCAGTAATTGATGTACTTGGTTCTCAGCACTGACAGAAGTGGCTGAAGTGAAAAGGCTTTGCCTCATCCTATGGCTTCCGTCAGCTGACATTGGGCACCACTGGTCACACATCCCTTACTCACTGAATTGTCCCTCAGGATCCTTTTTTTTTTTTTCATTCAGCTACTCTCATAAGAGGAAACCAAGCACAGGAACTGCCTGCCCAAGGAAGTAGTGGAGTCACCATCCTTAGGGACACAGCTTAGTGGGGGATGTGGCAGTGCTGGGTTAATGGTTGGACTGGAGGTCTCGTCCAACTTAAACAATTCTATAATTCTGTGAAATGCTTGGTTGATGTGTTCTCTGTCAACCTGCTTCTCTTGTGTAACTCCACGGATTGTCTTGGGAACAGAGTGAAAAAGGGGTTAACATGTTGCAGCAAGGAGCTGATTCAGGATCCAGGTTTACAGCAATGAGTTGCTGCAGCTCATTTAAGTACCTGAATTTCTGGAGTGGAGTGTTTGATGAAGCCACACAGACTCTGACCAGCTGACCACAAGTGCCCAAATGTGGTACCCAAACCCCAGTGGCTTCAGGTCCATCTCCTCCAGGCCTGGTGGTGCTGTGCATGCAGCCTGGCTGTGGGAAGTGATGTGGTTCCCTGTGTAACCCACATGACACATCATCTCCTGATCTCTTCTTCTCTGTGCACCAAGGGCTCCTTTTCCTGGCTCAGCAGCTGCAGCCCATTGACAACCAGTGACTCATCCCAGAGGGCTCATGTTTGGTAAAAGAAAAGAGGAGCCAAAACTTCGGCTCATGCCCAAGGACAACACTGCTGTCCGCTTGCAATGCTTAGAAGACAACATGTCTCTTTATCATATTAGAAATAATGAAAAAAACACAGTTTATAAATCTTCCCTGTTTGCCTTTGCCTTCATTTGGATGAGGACAAACAGTGCAGTTGGCTTTGCTTTTGTTTGCAGTCAGGCTTCCCCCACAGAGTCTTGGTTGACATTAAGCTGGGCCAAGTCTGGCAATGCTGACATCCTCTTGCAGCTTACTCAGAGCTGCGAGACAGCCACCCACGTGCACTGCAATGCCAAAGCCTCGTCAAAAGGCTGTGCAAAAAAGGGGTGCCCTGCTGCCTGCAAAGGGGGGATTTCCCATTGGCAAGGAAGGCTGGTTTCCACTAAACACACACCTCTGCAGCATAACACTGAGAGGAGATTTGAAACTCTTGATGTGACAGTGAGGAAAGAAAAGTGAGTTTAACAGCGAATGCCTGCCAGCTTTCGATTTGTATTGATATAAAAGGTGTGAGGTGCCCAACACTGGCAGCAAGAGCAGCACAACAGACTCTGCACCCACTTGGCTGTTGGATGTGCTGATCCAGGCAGCAAGAGTGGGCATGAAAAACAGATGTCCATAAGGGATGGGCAGTTTGCTCAGGCCCAGGAGCCAGATTTACACCCAACACCCTTTCTGTCACATGGCTGGAGGTTGGTTTTATTTCTTTTGCACTCTTGTGGGAGAGTACAAATCCTTTTGCACACTCGAGCCAGTGCTTCCTAAAACAGTACTGATCACATCCACTCTGGATTCTAACCTGAAAAAAAAAGGATAGTTTATTTTACTTACACAGTTTCTTCTCTTCAGGTTCTGCAAGCACATCTGCCTAGTCCCTGCTTCTGTGAGACCTTATGGAATCATCCTCTGAAAATAAGTGTAACAGGGGTGTTTAGGAAAGGCAGTGTGGGCAGGAGTACTTTGTTCTAAAATTGGAAACCAGGAGACCTGGCATTGTGAACTGCAGGCCTGCCAGTCTCCTTGCCTGGATTTTCCATTCAGATGAACACAGTCAACGAGAACAAAAGCTTTCTTTTTTTCCCCACTGACACCTGCCTCTTTACTCCAGGATGGTGTTCCAGCTTTCCATTCTCCCTTTGGGAAGCAGGGAAGCATTGCCTGCTTGCAATACCAGCAATCTCTATGCCAGTATGGAGGGAACAAGCTGTCCACTGTAATTTTTGTTCTCCTAAGTATCCTCCAAGAACCAGTTCCTTTCCTGGAGTCCTGAAGTTAGGCAATTCATGGGACTTGGGAGGAAGTCTGTGAGCTTTGCCAAAGTTACACAGGGGAGCTGTAATAAAAGAATTGGATATCACTGTGAACATCATCATGTTTCTCAGAGAAAACTACATGAGATACCAGGTCATGGACAGACCCCAACTTCCAAGTCAATAATCATCCAGCAGTCCTTTTACCCTGGCTTCTTTGGGTGTCCTTTTTCACTCATTAAAGCCACATATGGTCTCTTGTTTATTCCTGGTGTTGAGTGTGACAGTCAGAACTGCCCATTGTACCCAACTTGGATAACAGAGTCAGAGGATTGTACCTCATCACCCCTGCAGTAAGGTCACCTTTTATGGATTTTGCTGAATAAATACAGAAATATCTTAGAAATATAGCCAGTTCTGTGACATTTCTCTTTTCCTCTCTTCTCTTTCCCTCCTCACCCATGTTCACAAGCACCTGTGCCCAACTGCATTCCCGAAATGTACCCACCATCTTAATTCAGATGGTGTTTCACCTGTCAAAAGCACAAATTGGCCTGAAAAATTTCCTTTTTCATTTTGGAAGCAAATCCCAACTGTTGCTCCTTTCAAGTCTCCGTGAGAACGATGCTTTTGCATTTAGCTTGTCATGCATGAAAAGTTTGACATTGTTATTTGATGTTTTACTGATTCTCCCTCCGAGCCCTTCACAGAATTTTGAATCATGTCATCGTTAATAAAAGCATAAAAACTCTAAGATCAACAGAGGGTGCAGCTCTGCTCAGGGACACCAGAAATTCTGTTGCCAGTCCTGTTGCATCCAAGCATGTGCTCTAATGGCTCTTTCACTATGACAAGCACAGTTTGAGCAGCATGATAAATCCTATCCACCAAACACCTCTCTTTTCATGCATATCTGATACTGCACCTAGACCTATCTTTCAGCTTTTTGAACCATTAGTAACAGTGACAACATGCTTTTAATGCCAATTTCCTTCCAGAGACAATGCTTTGATGTTTTGACTGCAAAAGGCTTGGCACTCTCTTCCCTGGTGTAAGCAGAAGAACATAGCCCTGCTCCAAGGGTTCAGTTCTCTGCCTGCAGAAATTCAGCCACTCTTTCTACGGGTCAGAGGCTTTTCCCTGATGCTATTCATCATTCTGGTTTGGAGGGGTCTTGCCATCAGAGACAGTACAGGGACTGTCTGGCCTTGGTTCTGCTATGATCATCCTTGTAGGAAAACACAGAGACCGATTGCTCTTTGTAGTTCAGCTTGTGACCACTATTCATTAAATCTGTCATTTCCTCTTCTGCCTTTCAGCAGTGTTTCCTCCATCAGGAACCTAGTGACCCTCTGCAAGCTCTCATCCACCTACAATTACTGGACCTGTGTAAGCTTTGCCAAGTGGCTTAAATACTGTTTAGTCTCTGGTGTCAGCTGCTGCTTATGGCTGGCACACAGGTTTGCAACACACTCTCACCTGGCTTTTATTATACTCTCAAAATACTAGAAAAAAATCTATCCAGGCAAAGGATCAGACATGCATCACTGCAGCTGAAGTAGCTTAATATCAGTCGAGTGTACTCACATCCTTGGCTGATAGAATTCAACAGAGCTAACCAAGGATTTACTTCAACCCTCAGCTGACAAAAAAAATAAAAAAAAAAATCTCTGTTTGAGAGGCTTTTAAAGTGAAAAAAAAAAAAAGCAGCTGTGGTTTTGTGGTCACAACTAGACCTGGAAACATGATGTCTGTGTTGTGTTCTGCTCCATGCTTCTCCCTGTGTTCTTCGAAGGCATCATTTCAACCCTCTGCTTACAGCAGAATTTCTTTTGCTCTAAAATGGATGTAACAGCACTTCCCTCTTGCACAGGGCAGTTTGAGTAGTGACTGCCTTCACATCAGACACCCAGCCCTAATGGTGCTGTTAAAAGCACAGAAAACTCTGGAAAATATTATATAGAGAGGTTACAGTCAAATTATCTTAGATATTTAAAGACATCCAAATGTTCCTGTCCACTGGGTTAAAAATCCATAGTCACCAGGTGATTTCAGACAGGCAGGCTGTGACACAAGGACAAGGGCTGCAGCTCTGTGTCTGCCCAGCTCAGTGGGATGTCTATAGCAGATATGGGCACTGTGATGGACAGAGAAAAGGGTTACAGTCCCACCATGGGTGCTGAGGAACAGATGTCCTACACACCCTTTTCTTCTTCACACCCCCACTGGACAGAGGGCTCATGTTGAGTTCTGCTTAAAGGGGGCAGTAGTTCAGCAGACAATATTTCTGGGAATTACATAAACACTTGCAGGGTAATCGTTATTAGAAGGAAATGCCATTTTAAGGTGTCACATCTATTGGAATTTGCTCTTGGAAACAAACCCCAAGGGGATCACAGTCTTCTCCTTGCCCTGCAGGAAGTGAGGCTCTTTGCTGGAGAGGGGAAGAAGT